CAGTCAGTCCTAACAACTGTACAGCTTTACAGGCACCTCAACTAAAAGAAGTAAAAGAACTTCCAAGAAATATAGGAGCTTAAGCAACCAGCCTGCATTAAAAGAGCTCAGTCATGCTTTGGAAAATATTTATAATTCAATATATAGACTCTAGAACTGTATGGGAGTGAACATTTATGATCCTTGATTTACGTCAAATGTTTTTTTTCTTTGAAAAATCCACAAAAAGCCTCTTTGACGTGCAACCTCTCACACCTCAGTGTGAAGAGCATTCATGGTAAAATATAAAAACAAACAGGCGCTGAGCAAAACCCAGAGACTGATGTTCCTATGGTACTTGAAGGTTAATAAAATTTTTAACAGAGTGCCAAAATGCACTGAAAGAACATATCTTTCCTCTGTTGAGGCAGACTACAGTTTCCATTTCCTTTATCCCCACAAATGAAAAAAACTGCAAATTAGAAATGTTTTAACAGAAAGAATATAATGGCTTTTTTTTTTTGCTTTGTGACACATTCAAAAATAAGATGAGAAGACCTCAAAACCACCTGTCACTAGGGCAGTACACAAAACATTTAACTGAAGAAATGTACACTTCTATGCCGTGATCTGTTTGGTTTCTGCTTCTTTCACAGAGAACTGTTTCAAGTGTTTAACTGCTAAATAAGATGCTACTATGTGCTAAAAATACACAAGTTCCTGACTTAAGACTCATGCCTCAGGACAACAGTAAGGAAAAACAAGCAGATGCACGAGGAGAACAGCAGTAGAAAACACGATTATGAGCTTAAACAAACACTAATGATATTTAAACAGATATGGTGCAGGCAAAAAAGATGATTATTTTCATCAGATAATTTTAACACCACATTATGCACAGAAAAAGGAAGCACACATGCCTGCCAGTCTGAGTTACTGGGATTTATAACACTTAGGGCCAAGTAAACAAAAGGTTTTGCAAACACCAGAGGAATCTTCCAAAACAGTTTAAAGAATTTACAAGAGAAGCATTTTTTCTTGAGTTAACAGAATATCTCCTACAAGTGTTTGATTTCAACATGATCCTCTGACTACTTTTGGACAAATTGATAAATTGATATCTGAATCTTTCTTAGAAAAGGCAGACATTATTGCTTGCAGATTACTGTATTTGTCTGTTTGTTTTACTAATGTTCATTAATGTTCAAAGATGCCACTTTGCTCCTGTATCAGTGTAAACTGGAGTTTGGTGTTTAATAAAAAGCCTTGTTTGGTTCAACCTTTAACAAGAAATATTTAAAGCCTTGAATTAAATTTTTTGGATGAGGATATGTTATTTTACCAAAACATTAATTATGCAATAGATCAAATGTGTACAACACACATACCTTTAATTACATTAACAATGAAAGGTCTCTAGATTTCTTTTGATCTCTGGATTTGTCAGCATCTTGTGATGCTTTGTGTGCACAAGGCATGCAGGGAGTGGGCTATTCTTCCCAGACCAAAGATAAAACCAGTGAAGAGCCTGAATGCTTTTCCTAACAGTGGAGGTAGCTTTGTACTAGGCGGGGTATCACAGTGCTAATCCCAAAAATAGACTTAATCAATAGCATTACCTTTGTAGCAAGACAAATACTGAAGGCACTATGTCTCTATTATCTATAGAACTGCTATCAACTGCTGTTGACAGAAATGTTCATGTTATTAAACTAAAAATATTAAGAATACAACATAGAATGAAAGATTTCCTTGCATAAAGATTAAAATATATGTTTACACTGATAAGTATTAGATTCCAGACAGTCTGCATAAAGGTATTTCAACCCATTGCAGGGAGGATCCAGATACGGTCTCAAGCCTTCAGGGCCTCCAAGTCAAGGTTGAGCCCTATGATCACGGGTTCAAACCTGGGTCATGTAACTAGCTGACTGACTGGCAATCCCCCCAATCCTGCAGCGTGTGAGGGTGGCACAGTGTTCAGCATTACTGTTTTGCAACGCTGGGGGACCTGGTTTCAGTTCCGGACCTGGGGTGCTATCAGGGTGGAGTTTGCATGTTCTCCTTGTGTTTGCATGGGTTTCCTCCTACTGTCCAAAGACATACAGATAGGCTTACTGGCCCTAGCCATGAGTTTGTTTGCGATGGACTGGCGTCCCTTCCATGGTGTACTTTTCGAAGCGTTTCTCGAAAAGAGTAGGGGTGTAACCCCGGCATCCTGGCCAAATTTCCCCTTGGCCCTTACCAATCATGGCCTCCTAATAATCCCTATCTATGAATTGGCTTCATCACTCTGCTCTCCTCCCCACTGAGAGCT